GTAGCGAGCAGTTTCGTTATACAGAGGTTGTAATACATGTAGTCATAGTTAGCTTCGTCTAAGTTTTCTTTCTTTCTTTCCTTCCTTTCCTTAGCGCCAGACCGAGCTGAAGGTCCGTCAACTGTTTATTGTGAACTACCACCTCAAGACTTCTTCACATTTACGATTCCATTCTCCATGAAAGGATCAACAGATGTAAGCATCGCTCGATAGCTAATAGGCTTTCCAGTTGATTCCATGGTTTTAGAATATCATGACCCACTACAGATGACAGCCACTTCGAATAAACCTGTTTTTACCGCATTGTACGTTGTTTAATATTAAGGGGATTACCTTATTTATGACATTTACTGGAAAACGTTTATAAACACAGCAATTGCTTGACTAACACGTTAGAATTGATGGCTTTTCCATGTATTGAACTTCTGACTGTGTGCTCCTATTTCATCGATCAGGGACCGCCCATTCCACTCCCAAAAAAGTATGAAAAGGCGTTGAAAGAAAGAGAGAAGTAAGTATTAGTAGCTAATTCGCCTTACAATCTTAAAATTCTATTTTACCCTTGTTCTTCCGGCAATTCAAGATTTGGCAATTCAACAAGATTTGTCAATTCAAGATTTGGCACTTGAAGATTTGGCAATTCAAGATTACGCAATTCAAGAGTTGGCAATTCTAGATTTGGCAATTAGATATTCAAGATATGGCTTGCCAAATATTTACAATTCAAGAGTTGAAAATTCAAGACTTGGTTTGCCAAATGTTGAGAATTCACGATTTGATTTGCCAAATATTCAAAATTTAAGATTTGAGAATTCAATATTTTGCGTGCTAAATGTTGAAAGTTCAAGTTATAGGAGAGGTGAATGGAAAATACGAGACTTTGCTAGAATTAGAGACTAGCGATTCTCTTTTCGAGTCGGAGACACTTGTGACTTTGTTAAACTTCAATGCAAGTGTTTAAAAAACACGTGAAATTCCAAGATTTTTGAAGGGCTATTCGCCACCGATTGTTTTGCCCTTTTTGCTTGGTTATCGCTGTGGCGGTCATGGTGATTGTCTCTGTGATTTTATTGGTTGCTATTTTCTTTGCAGAGCTATCAACAACTGGTATCAAATGGTGAAAACATCGTCGCTGTCGAAGCAGCAAAGAAGACAGCTCCAGAAAGATGTACAAGATAGATTTCAGGTTAGGAAACAAAGGTTGTTTGCCATTTACACAAAAATTCCGCAAATTTCGGACAGAATGTAAGCGGTAAGACAATTTCAGCTCGACCGACCGGAAAAATTTCGAAATAAACCGAAATACAGTAAACACCCGCATATAAGAACACATGGATTAAGAACATCAGGCTGAAATTTGGTAAATAAAGCACCACTTTTATAAGAACAATATCAGCCTGGAAAAAAAATAATGTTCTTATAAAATGGGAAG